GCCAAAGATGGTTCAGTACATAGCAGAAAGGAGAAACACTTTGTTAGCAGTACTGTTTCTGCAGAGAGCAAGAATGGGGGAAGCACAGGTAGCTGAAGGAAAAGAAATGACATGAGCTTACGAGAATCTGGCCTTCGCCCTCCCTCTGGGAGCCGTGCCATTTCCTTTGGGCGAGTCAGGCCTTTTTTCACTATGTTTCTGTGTTTAATTTTTCCCTTCTCCTGCTGCTTTCAGTGGCCTGGTCTGCAGGCTTGGCTTGCGAGCACTCCCTGCATTCTCGCCCTATCTCAGCAAGGTCAGTCGCTCAATCACATTCGCTCCTCCAGGCTTTGCTCCAAAGGATGGAAAAACCGGAGGAAGATTTCAATTGCTGTTTTTTCACAGCTATCGTACGCTTTCTACAGCCAGCCACCAATTTTACGCATTCTGTGAAATCTGTGACAAGCATGAAAATAGCCCCGCTTCACATATTAGCACGTTAAAAACCCCTTCTCTCCCACATGGTGAAAGTAGGTGTAACCTCAGCGCTATTTACATAGGCACCTTTGGCAGCTTTCTTCATATCTATTCGCTCTGCAGGATTCACTTTTCATCTGAGGTTCTCTCTAAGAAAGAGAACATTATTTGTTGTTATCACAGGATAGCTGGTCCCTGTGGATAGAATAAACCCAGCTCCCTGGACTGGAGCCCAATCCAGCCAATTAAAAGAGGGCTGGACCACACCTGGGCCTATAAAGGGCCGCTAGTAGGCAGAGGGGGAGGGAGGGATGAGACAGACGGAGGAGCCTCAGAGGGGAAGTCACACTGGAGTCGAGCTAGCGCCTGCGGTGGGTCCAGGGAGCAAAGGACTGAGGGCTCAGGGGAACAGCCCTGTGACTGCTGCTCCAGGAGGGGAGCAGAGCTGGCCGAGGCTAGGAAGCTTGCAGGAGCTGGAGGCCCCTTGGAGAGTGGCCCTGAAGCCTGTCACTGAGGATTGAGTTAAGACTGTGTTCTGCTTGTCTGATAACCTCTGTTGTGCAAATAAACCTCCCTGAAGAGCCGAGCGCATGGTTTGGAGCCAGGGAGAAACGACAGCCCTGCTGACAGTTAAACGTGTGGTGGGCCGCTGGTGACGTGTACCGATGCACATAGCCATTTCTTTCCACGCCTCACTGCTAAAACTTGCTAAATATAAACAGGCACAGAAAGAGAACAATATAAACTCCCCAAACCAGAAACAGACAGGGACACGATTCTCATGGCTGCAGTCTAACTTTCAACACCATATTCCATTACCTGTATTTTATCCTCTTCCCCCTCTTCTTTACCTGTTAGTCACCTGTGCACAGTGCCAAGAGTTCTGATGGTGCAGTGGGTGCATGTGCACTGAGTGGCCGGTACTAAGTTTAGAATGGCTGTTTCTCCTCGGAATACACAAATGACTGATTATTACCATTATTTATATTACGGCAGCATCCAGAGGTCCCAACTAAGATTGGGGCCCCACTGAACTAGCCACTCTGCCTGCCCATGGGGGCTAATAAACTAAAGAGACAGGAAATACAAAGGGAGAAAGGAAACATTATTATTCCTCATTTTACAGAGGGGGAACTGAGGCACAGAGAGGCTAAGTGACTTGCTCAAGGTCACACAGGAAGTCTGTGTCAGAGGCAGGAACTGAATTCCAAACTCTTGAGACCCTCCTGCCTGATGAGGTAACAGGTGATTGCAGTCAAAACTCTCAAACTGTGTCAAATGTGTGCGTCATTTGTATCAGCAGGCACAGGGGAAGCTGAGAGTATAATGACCAACTTGCACAGTTTTCATCATATTTGACATACTGACAGCTTGCCTAGGTCTAAGCTTTGACTTATCTTAAGTGTTAAGGAGAGGTAAAATGTTAGGGAGAGTCTTGCAGATGTTTACTAATAACAAAAAACAAAGAGCCCGCATTTGCACCATTGATAATACGGGCATACTATTACTGTCTTTATTGCTGTAGTAAATACTACAGTATTGTTATTCCTTTTCTTAGTTCTATGAGGAGTTCTGTAATTTCCAGAGCGTCTCTCCAAGGCAGATGCCAAGCCAACGAATTTAGTGCTGCATCCCAGACATACCTCAAACTCCAGATAGTGGTCTTTCAGTTTGTAGTCATCTACTTCTTTGCCTTTAAGTTTCTTGTCTGGTGGGTAGGAACGATGCTCGGCTAGCTCGGTAGAGATTTGCTTCAGCTTAGCTTCATGTGATTTCAGCTGTTCATCCTTCAGAAACATATTAGTCAGATAAGTGTCAGACGCGCAAAGATTCAGTAAGTAAAAAGAAGAAAAAGATCTGCCCATACACTGAACAGCAGCTTCTGGCAAGCGGCGTTTTTGAAACATTTCATTTTATTTATAAGGTCAATTGTTAGGGCTAGATCGTCAAGAGCTTGGCTCCCAGCAGCTTCCTTGGAGGCATCCAGAAGAAATGGCCAGATTTTTTTAAGGTTCGCAGCACCCAGCACCTCCCCAGGGTACAAGGGAGGATCTACCACTCCTCCCCCAGGTAGGGCGACCAGATGTCCCGATTTTAAAGGGACAGTCCCAATTTGGGGTTTTTTTCCCCTATTTAAGCTCCTATTACCACCCCCCCCCATCCCGATTTTTCACATTTGCTGTCTAGTCACCCTACCCCCAGGTGAGAACAATGGGAGTTGCTGGCTGTGGAGCACTGCTGAAAATCCGGTCCTTCCACTTTACTAACCCCCGGGCCAAATTCAGCCAAGTCAATGATGTTATTCGGGGTACAAGAAAGGGAAGAGTTTGACCCCACGCTTAAGGTCATCACAATTTGGAAGCAACTCTTGTGGCGACAGGATTGGTACAATTGTCAGACCCCTCCCCTCTGTCATTCTGCCAGTATGTGCTTTCCAGTCTGTAGCAGCCAGTGGTTAGAGCTATGCAAGGCACAGGCTCTCCTGGGAGGAGGATGTTCTGTCCTCTCCTGAAGGCTTATTTCCTTCTGTTAAATTTTACTCCACTGTGCAGTTGGAGGGGGCAAGGACCTGCTATTCTTTCTTTCTAGGCCATTTCCTTTGCCACAATCATCCCAAACCCACTCACCCCCTCCAGTCCATCTGGGCAGAGAATGGCACTCTTCTGCAACCCCCTTCAAAGCATGCACTCCTTAGGTCATGCAGGCCCTACAGAGTGGTCTTATTTCTGGACTTGGGTTGGACTGGGCTTTAAATTCAACACTGCACTTTAACGCTATTCCTCAGCCCTGCAGGAAAGAGCAGAAATGGTGAAATCTCATCCGTTTCTTACAACACAGGGCCTGGATCAGACCCAAAGTCCATCTAGTCCAGCAGCCTGTTTCTGACAGTGGGCAACGCCAGATGCACCAGAGGAAGTGCAAGGAGCCCGCAGAGGGAGACATCAGATCTCATCCTGAGGTCTAACAGATTGGCCTAACCCGAACCCTTTTTTTGATCTAGCTAAATTCTTGGCCTCAACAACTTCCAGTGGCAGTGAGTTTCTCAGTCTAACTACACATGTGGAAAAATCACTGCCTTTTATTGATTTGAATCTGCCACCTTTTAGTTTCATTGAACATCCCCTTGTTCCGGTGTTATGAGACAGGGAGAACAGAAGCTCTTCATCTACAGTCTGTAGACCATTCGTTATATACTTTTATTACATCCCTGTTACCAGCGAACTATAGGATATAGACACTGGAGGTGAACTTGGTGAAATGACTTAGTACAATTAATTTTGTCTTGTCTCTTCATCTCCTATTTCTGTCAGGGACTGACCCTGCTGCCACTGATGCCAATGAAAATGACGACACTGATTTTACTCTGAGCGGGCGCAGGTCCTTTGAACTAAGTGCTGTAGTGGTCTTCTTGATTCAGCTCACAAACTCTAACACGGAGACCAGAAAGAGTTGATAATTCATATTTCATCCTCTGCAGAATGAGAAACAGCCTGCTTACAACCTCTCCAGCTTGCAGATAAACGCAGACAGGTTTTAGCTTGTCTTTGAATTTATCTGCTTTGAAAAATTTAAGAATCTTTTGCCGTTAGCTCAAACAACTTCGCTTATTCTGCTTCTCATGACACCCTTTTACCAGTACGCAAACCACAGGGGTTTGTTGTTTTTTTGTTATTTCTGATAAAATGGAAACAATGAAGCTAGGAAATTGTGCGCTAAATGGAATGATATCTCAGCGCAGTGAACGGTGGAAGGATTTTTTTGATGGCTGTGGGTGAATTATTGAAACCTCAAGCCATGGCGGAGCTGCAGTGAAAAAATGGCAAACAAGACGCTAGTTTGTATTAACAGGAGGTGAAAACACAGAACAAGACAAGTACTATTGCCCCTATTTAAGGCACTTGCTGGACTTCCACCAAAAACACAGCTTGAAGTGCCAATCTCCAGGCCACTGGATGAGTGATATTGTCAGAAGGTGGCTTTGAAGAATCTAGGTTATGAGGAAAGGCTCTGAGAGCAAAGAAGTTCTGAAGGCAAGTCAGTAAGTGGTGGTGATGGCATAAAGCCTTTCAAATTTAGGAAAAGGAGTGAGGAAGTTCAGAGAGATTTCGTTCACAATGCTAGAAGGAGATAAACTACTCGGGATCGCGTCATTCCTAAGAGTACATTCTGTCCTCTGCTGCTGTGGTGCAAAGGGAGCACAGAGGAGACTCACCCATCCTACAGGACATTCCGCCGCTGGTGGACAGGGGCAGCTCTATGTATTTTGTTGCCCCAAGCACGGCAGTCAGGCAGCTTTCGACAGCGCGCCTGCGGGAGGTCCGCCGGTCCCGCGGCTTTGGCATACCCGCCGCCGAAGCTGCGGGACTGGTGGACCTCCCGCAGGCATGCCGCCGAAGGCTCCCTGACTGCCGCTCCCATGGCGACCGGCAGGCCGCCCCCCC